ATCTATAGCATGAATTGCCAGAGGATAGGGCTAGCAGAAATCACAGACCAAAATAAAATCGTTCAAGAAACAAAAAAGTTATGTCGTTTTGAAAAAGGACGAACTTTTTGGTCGCGACAAATTGAGTGGTGCGCAATTTAGTTGACATTCTACAGCTTTGTTGATTCTTTTTTCAAATTTAGCAAATACTGTTTGTATTACTTTTAAATGTTAAAAGCGTTTGGCTTGTCAATATTTTTTTAAAATCACTGACTGATTTTTTAAGAGAAATTTTGTTTACTAAAAACTTAATTAGTCAACAAACTGAAAATTAAATTTTGAATGATGACACATTACATGGTAACCACAGATACCGTCAACTCACCCGTCACCCGTTTCTTGATACAAAATAATATTTAAAATTGTTAAATGTCTCTGAAAATAAATAAAATAAATAAAGTTTTTATTGCATATTCGGTAAAATACAGAACATATGATACAAAATATACAAAAGGCCATCGACCAGGGTCCTTCAGCCTGTGTCTCTGAAATTATTAACTTTAGGTATAGGGAACATTAATCGAAATGTCTTTTAATTTGCTATTTGATTAGGTGTTACATTTAAAATAAAAAAGTTCTGTTTCAAGTTAGCCCAATTTGCCCTGGGTTTTTTCGGGTAATTTGTTGAAAAATGTTAAAAAATTGACATGGAATCTTTTAAACAATGTTATAAGATTCCAAAAATTTCACCCCCATATCCGTAAACATAATACAAACAAGTTTTATGATATTTTTGATTGACGCGCATTTGTCAAATTTTAACAAAAAAAAAGTCGAAAACCTTTCACTTTAGGTATAGAATAGTAATTTTACTCAAAATTTGATGTAGAATTTAAAAATGTAAAAACATATGGGATGTTCTATTTGAAATAATAAAGTTGATGTCACTCCCGGTCAAATAGGGTATTTTGTTCAAAATATTAAAAAAAAATAGACTTAAATGGATTATAAACGCTTTTAAATTTTAAATCGATATCTTTTCCGTTCCCCAGAAACTTCCAATGGACCACTAATGTGAAACACCCTGTATATCAAGTGGTGTTTTCTAGGAAGTGATACAACTATAGATTCTAAAGCAATGTATAATCGTCAAACTAAAAGATCAAGATTTGTTTCCAACAAATATTTAATATAAGATAAACACAAATCTGTTGTTTTATTAAAAAAAAAAATTTTTATAACAAAATGGAGAATTAAAAATCTGTATAGGTTAAAATAATAAGAATGGCTGAATAAAAAGTTTAAATGACGTGATTTGTAATACAATTTGTAATACAAAATGACTGTAAGTATTTTAAGACTTTTTAATAAAAGTTTATAAACAATTGAAATCTAACATGTTTAATTCATAAAATGTTTTATAAATTCTTGTAAAATAATGCAATAGACTTATTACAAAATTTGTAAAAACATTTTAAATTTATCATTTTTAAGATTTTTTAAATTATAAGCAAAATATTATTGTAAAATTTAGAAATTTTGACAAAAAGCTATTACTTATCCAAAAATTCGAATACATTCTTTACAATATTTAATTTTAGTCATGATAAATAAACTAAAATTGGTTTAATTTAAATTCATAATCAATAGAACCAAAAAATATTATAATTATTTATTTGGCAAAATTTAAATCTGTATGTACCTAATTCTTTGTATGATTTAACCATAGCATAAGAACTCAAATCTGGGGTAGCACGTCTTAAGAAAATAAACCAATTAAATTAATTTTAACCCTGTCAAGGAAAATTAAAATAAAGTCACTGAAAAAACAGGAAAAGCCAGGAAAATTTGGTTTTAAAGAATGTGTTGACCCTGTGTAACAACTTTAACCAGTTGATTTAAAGACAACACTTATTGTCTTTTAACAGAAGAATGTTTACCATTTTTAATTTCAAATAATTTAGTTTCTTCATATAGGTACATTACCAAATAATAGCGCAGGGGCAAAAAGAACTATAGCAAACTGTATTGTGACGGTAGGGTTCAAACTTTCGATTATTGTGGAATATCAGTATATAATAAATATAGACCTACCACATTTAATCCACCATAATATATACTTTACATTAAAATTATTTAAATACCCACTATAGAAATCCTACACCCAATATAGAAGCTTGCCACATTTGTACAGGGTTTTTTGTATAAATGACACCCCTCTAAAATCTTTATTTGAAGAGATAAATTAAAAAATCCAGCTTGCATGGTTTTAAAAAGTATTTTTTTTTACAAAAATTAAAAAACAAAAAGCATCAGTGAAATTGATTTACACCCTGTATATTTTTTAATAATTATTATAGTAAGTTTTTTATTTTAATTTCAAAAATATATAATTTGTTTTTGTTTGAATTAAACATTTTATTAATAACTATTGAATAATTGAACCAAAAACTTTAATTATTTTAACGTAAAAATCAAAGTTGCCATGGATAAAGAAGTCACGTCGGAATATAACCATGTCTTTATTATTAATTTTTAACAAAATGCAAATAATTAAATATTGTTCCAAACGCCATGCTTATTTTATGGTTGTCAACCATGATTCTCGCGTTAAACTTAGCATAATTTTCGGATCAGTTAGAAGAAAACACTTAACAAAAATATATATAAACTACCTATAGGCTATAGGTATATATATAAAGGGTGGGCCATTTATTGGTTTGTTTTTAAAAACGCTATAAAATGAGTCTAAACCAATATTTTAAGAACTTTTTTTTTTATTGTGAACGTTGGAGTCTCCAATTTAAGAATGAAAAACAATTTCGTTCTTGTGACTTCCTCTGCTGGCCTACAGTAAGCCATCCTGTGTGTCCAATTTTAAAGCACTTTTTCCAGGATTTCGCGCCTATATCGCCAATAACTGTTTCAATGTTGTTTTAAAGCTGGAATTGTCTCTGGATTGTCCGCATAACATCGGTCCTTAACGAAACCCCACAGAAAAAAATCTAACGGCATCAAATCACAACTCCGTGCATGCCAATTGACATCTCCAAAACGGCTGATTATTCGGTTGTTAAATTTGGTGCGCAAGAGATCGATTGTCAGTCGGCTTGTATGGCATGTGGCCCCATCTTAATGAAACCAAAGATCGTCTACATTCATGGCGTCAAATTAAGGCCATAAAAAGTTGGTCAACATGGCAGCAGTATTTTCGAAGAAAAATGCGCCAATTATGGAATTGGACTCTCTACGATTACATGTGGCTATTCCGTACCCCAAATCCGGCAGTTCTGCTTGTTTGCATAGCCCCCGAGATGGAAATGAGCTTTGTCTAAAAAAATGATTTGAATTGACGTCATTGTTGAACTGGTCTGTGGCCCACACAGCGAACTGATATGGAAGCAGATGGTAATTTGCTTTCAACTCCTGAGTCATCTGGACCTTGTAGGCGAATAATGATAATAAAGATGGATTTTGTACCACACTACGGGACAGCCTCAATATTCTTAGGCGTACGCACTGTCCGAGCTCAGGGACCTTTTCTGTTATCTAATAGCAAGCCTGTCTCAGGAACTTTCTTCACCAATTTCACTACAGCAGTTCCGCTTAGCGCTCTTTCACGACCCATAATTATTTTCAAAATTTGCACGCTTTCGGCCACACAACACTGACTTTGAAAATAAATTTTCAATATTTTGAAACGCTCCTCAAGCGAAAACATGATTGTTTCGGCTTTGTTATCTATGGTGCCGCGGAATGTCAGAATGACAAGCTGTCAAAATTTAAAACAAATCGGTGCATCGAGTATTGCCATGGGCAATGTTTTAAAAACAAACCAATGAATGGCCCACCCTTTATATACACAGTAGAATCTTGCTAATCCGGCCCTGTGGTAGTCCAAACCTGTGATAGTCCGACCCTGCCAATAATCCGGCGGTAATTTGGTGAATGCAGATTTTCACTGCACTATCTATAATCCGGGGGTTACCACAAATTAGTACCGATAATCCGGCGTTTTCGTCTAAACACGTTTATTATCTATTGTAATATTGCAAAGTGTGTCATACTCCGATTTCTGGTGAGATACTGAGAGAAAGGGCTATATTTTTTGATCAAAAAAGTGTTTATTTACTGTGTCTATATAAAGAAATATCCATAATAAAATACATATGTACATTAATGAGAAAAATATAATATCAAAAAATTAATGAGCTTTTCCAATAATCCGGCGTTTTCCGTAATCCGGCCATCACTTGCATTTGACGAGGCCGGATTACTGAGATTCTACTGTATATATATTTATATATTTTTGAAACTTGAAAAAGTACTCTATTTAAATATATACAGGGTGTTTCAAATAGAACAATGTCAATCCTATTTTATTAAATTTAACGATGCTTTTTTGTTTTTGAATTTTTGTTAAAATATATATATATAGGGGTGTCCCATTTATAATAAAACATCCTGTACCTTTAACCTGCATTATCAGAACGTTTAGCGCGCCCTATAGAAATTGCAATGGTTCTTATAAGTGCCTTTATTGACTGCCATTACGTGCCCATAAAAGGTGAAAGCAACATAATATGTACAGGTCTAATAAAGTTAGCCTTTAGTTAATTAAAGGCACGTTATGGACCGGTATAGAATTGCTGGGTCCCTTTAACTTAAAATCAAAAACCTGTAAAACAAAACCTTATAAAAAAAAGCTTAAACCATACAAGGTCTAAGGAAAAAACTACTATTTTTTACTAAGGATTTCACTATTTAATTATTCTCAACCATTGAGTTTCATTAAAAAAATTAAATAAAATCATCTCAAATTCATTAAAATAGAAGTCACCTATTGTTAAAACCATTGTAATTTATAAATAAATTTAACACAAAGATCCTTGACCTTATTGACCCAATTGGTCATGCTGATAGTGAAGAAATCAACAATTGGCTGTTTTGATGAATAAGGATATTAATATTGCAATTTGTTTATGTGGAAACTAATGCAAGGTGTTTATAGAAAGACTTACAGCAAGCAATGTTGGTATAATGACATTTCTTGGAAGGAACCCATAAGTTAGAAGATCCTGTGTCAAAAACAACTTTAAATTTTTGAGGAGGGTTTCCAATGCTAATGGCTCCATAATATTGAGCCTAAAAATAAAAAAAAAATAATATTAATAGGAATAATCTTAGACCACTATAAATCATTTAGAAACAAAGCTAATTAAAAATGGTATAATTTCAGGAAGCCATGATATTAATTATTAAACTAAAAATAAATTCCTACATCTAAATAATTGGAGAGAGGCTCAGGAGTTGGTCCTCCAGCAGTATAACGTAGTTGAACTTGTTTAACTTGCGTTCCCACATCTTCCAATGTTCTACGAACAGATTTAAATTTCTCCAAAGGAACCCTAAAAACAAGAAAATTGCAAAAAAAATGTCGGCTCAAAGTTAAAAACATGCTTACCGCACAAAATTTGTTGTGGAGTCACCAAACACAAAACTAAAGAGCAGAGAGCAAAGTATTATACTACGTATCATGTTGTTGCCGCTGTAGTAACTCTATTCCAAAATATTTCTGTTTTAAACGATAAATAATCACCTAGCATATCACTTTTGATGACCCATAACCAAAAACAACAAAACGAATTACAGTGTTGACAACCATAGAAAAAAACCGTATAATTTAGGAAGTGACTACTATGAGGCTGACTACTATGAGGCGCCGTTTGTCCGTAAATTATTTTTGCTATATATAAGAATATTTTCTATATATAAACTTTAAATTTCCTATATTATACAGGGTGTCCGGAAAAAGGAGGTCAATCCTCTAACCATATATTCCTTGAGTTAAAACAACTTTCATAATACCATTTTTCAATTTGGAGCTTCATGTTCGATATACAGGGCGACAAAGTTTGAAATTTAAAACAGAATTTTTTTAATAATTCGAGTAATTAATAAGGTATTAAGTTCAAATTCGGTACACTACTTCAACATAAATAATTACATCTTTTAAAATCAACAAAACAAAAAACAATTGTCAAATAATCAAAATAAGGGGGGTCCAGTACTCACTGACCCCCCCTATTTTTTAGTACGGGCGCCAGTGACTTCCAAACGGTATTTTTTCAGGTAATCATTTAGTATTGAAAATTTTTTGTCTCTTATAAAATTTTGATGAAATGATTTGTTTTAGAAATAATTTGTAAAGTATTCGTCCTTGATTGATGCCCACGCGGCTTTTGGCAATCTCATAATTTTCAAATGTAGTACTGGACCACCCTATTTTGATTATTTAACAATTGTTACATCTTTTGAGGACAACAAAACAAAAAACAATTGTCAAATAATCAAAATAGGGTGGTCCAGTACTACATTTGAAAATTATGAGATTGCCATAAGCCGCGTGGGCATCAATAAATTACCAATACTTTACAAATTATCTCTAAAACAAATCATTTCATCAAAATTTTAGAAGAGACAAAAAATGTTTAAAACTAAATGATTACCTGAAAAAAGTACCGTTTGGAAGTCACTGGCGTCCGTACTAAAAAATAGGGGGTCAGTGAGTACTGGACCCCCCTTATTTTGATTATTTGACAATTGTTTTTTGTTTTGTTGATCTCAAAAGATGTTACTATTTATGTTGAACACAGCAAACGAAAAATTATAGAAGTGTATAGGATGACTCCGCGTTTGAATATCAAATCTTAAAGTTTTATCATAACTGTATTGAATCGTGCTTTGTTTTTATATTTTTCGGCTCTATACCTATGCACGACTATATTTAAAGTCAAACTCAATGGTGTCTTACAAGATACATTATTTTGATTTTCTATATTCAACAGAGGAGTAGAAACTCGACCCTGTCGAATGGTGCAGTCATATATGTCTCTAGAAATTATTAAAAAAGGCTTCAGTCCAATGGTGCAGCAACTTCGGATTCCTATTCTCCTCAGAGACATAGAAACTCAAGCTTTTCGAATTTTACTGGCAATGATTTTCGTTAATGTCCCCGAGAATTATACAAAAACAGCGCAATGCAATATCGCAACGGTTTCGACTTCTCTTTACTCTACCAAGTTATAGAAACTGGAGTCTCTCTAATACTGTTCTAGTCAATATTTCTGAGAGTATAAAAAGAGGGTGTAATATTGCAAGAAGTTTTGATCTTTTGATGGATGAATTTTCTCATTTCTCCATATGATTTTGTTGAAAATAGTTCCTTTCTTTGGTTCCTTTGTCTGATTTTTATTTACCGTAACAACTCAGGTATGTAAAGCACAGAGGATATGATGTTAAGTATATTTATGTATTATATAAAGTACCTATATTTTTATTAAAAATTTAAGAGGTTATGTTGAAAAATGATCGATATGCTATTAAACTTTAATAATTTAGTAATTAGGTCTGTTGGTAGACCCTGCACTATCTCCACTGGTATATGTTAGTACAGCAATATTTAAATCTGGTTGATGAAAAAGTACACACCAGTGAAGGTTATTGTAGCATCTACGAACAAATGAATTAATGGCCCATTGGCAATTATTCCTTTAGGAAAAATATTCAACACAGCTTAATTAATTAATAAAATGAAAAAAATCACAATCATGTCGTATATAGTTTTTTTTAAGCATAAAATAATTTTTATATTAATACTAGTTCAAAAGTGAAATTACGACCTCTATACTGTGGAGAGTATTGAAACGCTCGACTGACGAATACAACTGTATACCGTAGGGAGATTTAGAAATCGATATTCAAACGTGGCGTCATCCTATACACCTCTATAATTTTCCGTTTGCTTAAGTAGTGTACCAAATTTGAACTTAATACCTTATTAATTACTCGAATTATTAAAAAAAATCTGTTTTAAATTTCAAACTTTGTCGCCCTGTATATCGAACATGAAGCTCTAAATTGAAAAATGGTAATATGAAAGTCTTATTGTTTTAACTCAAGGAATATATGGTTAAAGGATTGACCTCCTTTTTCCGGACACCCTGTATAGAAACTTTTTAGTTCAGATAACGACGCTTGAGAATGAGGGGCCAGACCACGAAAAATTTCCGTACTGATTTGGAATAAAAAATGTACTGATTTTAATAAAAAAAGTACTGTTTTCAAAAAAATACAAGATGTTAATATTTTGACGTACACCTCGTTTCTTATTGTAGTACACGTTCATCGCCCATAATGGCGGGTGGGGGCGTTGCAACCACATACTTAAAGTATAAAGCCTGATTTATAGATTGCCTTCCATCCTTCCTCCCGTAAAAGATGAACAATACGAAAATCCTAGTGCCATTTATAGTACGGAAATCTTTAAACTGCACAACGGTTTTTGTACTGTAACAGTAGTTTAGTGCGTTGCAGGCCGTTGTGCTTGTGATTATGTTTTAAGTATATGGTATTGTTATGTATTTCTTATGCTTATTCTAACGGTCATTATGAACCCACACTTAAGCATGATTTATAGATTGCCTTCCTTCCTTCCTCCCGTAGAAGATGAACAGTACTACTGTTCATCTTCTACGGGAGGAAGGAAGGAAGGCAATCTATAAATCATGCTTAAGTGTGGGTTCATAATGACCGTTAGAATAAGCATAAGAAATACATAACAATACCATATACTTAAAACATAATCACAAGCACAACGGCCTGCAACGCACTAAACTAAATTATACTATATATATAAACTAAATTATACTATATAGATGTATATAATATTTAATTTAGATAGTTCTTTACTTTTAAGCCTATATACACTTTTAAGTTTTTTTTTTAAGGTATTTGACTTTTAGTCTTTTCGACTATTTAGCCAGCTCATTATTATATATTTTTATGCTTGAAAAACAAGCACAACACCCAAGGCTGTGACCGGAAATCGAACCCGGTACCCAAAGAAGCAAAAGTTCCTGGTTAAAAGTTGGCAACACAATAATCGCCCGAAAGTCTGAGATGCGCTTGACACAGGCCACAAGGCTACCAACTTACACAACATAATGTTACGTACGAGCTTCATGTCTATTATGTTTTAGATAAAAATGCATAGATGGCGCTGATTATTTTTCCTTTCTTTCTTTAGGCGGGAATTTTAAATGTAATGTACAGGTATAATGCATTTAATATAAGAATAAATAAAACTAGAAAGTTTTTATAAATAAAATTTAATAAATAAACTAATATTAAACAGTACAAGATAAATTTTACAATATTAAACAATATAAAACTAGTATTAAACGATATATAACAAATTTTTAAAAATATAAAACAGATTTTACAACAAACCACTAATATTAAACAGTATAAGATAAATTTTACAATATTAAACAATATTCTACTAGTATTAAACAATATAAAACAGATTTTACAATGTTAAACAATATAAAACTAATATTAAACAAATTTTACAATATTAAGCCTTATATGATTTTTGAAATAACTAATGAAATGAAATGAAATAAGCTAAAATTTTAAATTTATTTAATATTAATTTATATTGTTTAGAGAAAAACATTTTTTATAGAAAAATACTAATTATTTATTATATTGACCCCATAGATAATAAATCACCCCAGATAAAACATTTACCTATGATTGACATTATTTTGACAAACTAATAAGAATTACAAGTCAAAATAAAAAATTTCTCACCAGATCCTGAAAGTTCCTCGGACTGCTTGTGGCTCCTATTTTGAAGATTAAAGTCAGATTTATAGTTCTAAAACGTAGCCGTAGCCGTTGCAGTTGCAGTAAGTAAGTAGCTAATTTTTACAATTTATAGTTCAGCGCGTAGCGGTTGCAGTAGTGGCCGCGTAGTGACATTTGTTCTCTTTACAAACATTTCAAGTATTTTGTATCGGTGATTTTCGCTTTGTTTATTTGGTTTAGTTTACTTATAAACATAGTTTAGTGACATTAAATTTTGTTCTGTTTACAAAGATTTCAAGTATTTTGTAACGGTGATTTTCGCTTCGTTTATTTTGTTTATTTGGTTTAGTTTACTTATAAACATGGTTTGGGAGCCTTGTTTTTGAGTTTGACAGTTTTTCTGCAATATCTGCAATTTGATTGGCTGTAGTAGTCGTTGCAGCAAGAAAAGATAAAAGTTGGTCATCTCTTACGACAACTTACGACAACGACCTTGGATGCTACTGCAAAGATCCTCCAGCCAATCACAGACTGTTTTGCCCCTACTGCAACTGCAACTGCAACGACTACGGCTACGTTTTAGAGGTGGGCCGGTTTGCGATTTTTCAAGAGCTGCGATGCAATGCGACTGCTCCGGCCGGAACACTGTGACAAAAAGCAGCGATTTTTCGAAGCAATGCGATTTGCGATGCTCCAGAGCAGTTTTGTTTGAGCAGTGCCACGGTAAAAGCAAAACACTGGCGAAAGTGCGAACAGCGAAGCAACTAGAGATAAGCGATATTTTACGAACTGTTATTTTTTCACTGATATTTAAAAATCACGAATAACGACTGCTACTTACATCTATTAATTAGCGTGATCTGTGATTTTTCACTTAGCGATATATGTTTGTTAAGTTTAAAAGGTTTTTTTGTTTGTTATCTACCAATAAGTTCAATCACATATTGATAAATACATGTGGAACAATTCCCCACACGGTCGCTGCTGAAGAGAGCAACAGCGACGGCCTGGTATAATTAAAATTTCGGAGCAATTTAAATTTTAAATTGCTCCGAAATGTCGCTGCGATTTTTACTGCCGCGGAGCAGTTTGCGATTGCGACGCCACCGGAGCAGTGACAAAGTAGCAGTTTGCGAAATCGCAACA